AAAAAGGAAAAAATCAAAAAAAAAAAAAAAGTTTACACTCATAACTTTTTAAGTTAAAAATGTTTGACATTTTCGACCATTTTAAACTCCTTTCCTTGTAACATTATCATGACTCTTTACTAACAAGCCCTTGATGAGTTGTCACAAAACCAAATAGCTCTTCTTCCTCCCCCTCCTCAGTCCCTAGAGAGTGATGTAATTTATGGATGACATTATTTAATAGAATTATCTTGAATTAATAAGTTCAATTTAATAAACACTATCTAAAAAATATAAATATTAGGGATGTACCGAAGCTTCGGCTTCGGTTCGGCCGAAGCCATGGGCGTTTTTTGTTGAATCATTGGCTTCGGCAAAAAAATGGACATTACTAAGCTGGCATTCGACTGAGGAAGACATTTTTAAACGTTCACACGACGTCTGTTTTCCGAATAAAACGTAGTTAAACGTTCAAAATTCTTCTTTTTCTTTTCTTCTTCTGAGAAATTTAAATAAGCCTCTGATCTATACAGTTGTGAAGATTAAATGAATCCAGCAACAGCTTTTGGAGGTGGCAAGGCCGTGTGTAGGGCGATCAAAAACGGCACGATAGCGGATAGAAAGTAAAGTTACTTAATTAAAAACACATTAATTTTTTTTATAATCACTCAATATAAGCTGATTTAAACTGTAACATAGTAAACTTTATACAATTAAATACCATAGTTATGATCACTCCAGCTTAGCAATAAAATTTATTTATGCATTAGTTGGTAGTATAATAATGAAAAATAATTAAAATTTAATTTTTTTAGCATTTAGTTATTAGATAGCATCAACTTCTAAAATCCGAGTTATATTAAATTATATATTTTTTAATATTAAATTAAAATTAAAAATTAAACCTGGAAATAAATCTTCATTTGAAATTACTTAGATGTAACTAAAACCTTTGGATTTTAAGTAATAAAAAACATAGCGCACGAGAGTTAAGAGAGTTAACTATTCTTGAAATTTTTAAAAATCTATACAATAAGTTAATTTTAACGCACGAAACAATTTTTATTCAGAAAGTTTGTTTTACTAAGTCACAGACAGAACACAGAAAGACACTACACAGAAAAGACACTACACAGAAAAGCAAGAAGAAATTCATGCAGTTTTAACTGATAATGCAGCCAATGTAATGGCTGCCATTAAAGAGTCAAATTTGGGCGATAAACATCTTCCATGTCTGATACATACTTTACAACTTTGAATTCAGAAAAAGATCTTTAGAGAACAAAGAACAGCAAGTGATACAATAGCTGTTTTTCGAGCATTAGCAGGACATTTCCACCACTCATCTAGTGCTGTGGCTAAACTAAAGGAAATTCAAAATCAACTAAAATTGCCAGAGCATAACATAATTCAAGATAATTCCACAAGATGGAATTCGACATACTATATGCTTGAAAGGTTCATTGAGCAGAAAAAAGCTATTACATTGTATTGCATTACCAGAAATTAAACAAATGCAAAAAATCCTACGGAAAATTAATGGCAACTTGCTGAAATGCTTGTATGCATATTAAAACACTTCGAAAGTACTACAAAAGACATGAGTAAAGAAACTGCGTGTATATCAGAGATTATACCATTTATCTATGCAATGGAAAAGTTTCTAGACTACGCTTGTGACACGGCAACTGAAATAAAAACTGTTGTTGATAAACTTAAGAAAGATTTTAACTGTCGTTTTCAAAAATACAAGGATAATGTTGATTTAAAAATCGCGATGATGCTTGATCCTCATTTCAAGTTAAAGTTTGTTGAAGACAAGAATCATAATATGTTTAAAGAAATACTCCATCTAGAGTTCTACCGCTTTTGTTCCAAATCTCATTAAGAACAAGTAAAAGAAATTGAATTTGGTGTAGCAAGAGGTAGTGGATCAGACTCAGAAGAATCATTAAGTTCATTTTCAGAATCGAGTCCGACTCAGATTTTGATGGCCATGGCTCTCCATTAAAAAAAACAAAAACTAATGAGCATGGACATATATAGCTTGTTCCACCAAACCGGTGCAAATAAGTATGCTCTACAAAATTCAGAAAAAAAACACTAGTTCAATGGGAAAAACTCTAACTGTCAAAGAAAAATGGTAAGAAAACAGAATCTATTTATGATTTTATATTGTTTATACATTAAATATTAAATATTTTTTTTATCTCTATTCTCAATCTCCATCTTTTATATTTCAAAAGACGGATAAGAGCATTCTTTTATTTTGTTGATTAAAAATTAAATATTTTAAAAACTTAAACCTAAAATTATCACCTATATTTTATGTATCAGCACCGATGAAGTCAACTTCTACTTGAGCCTTCCAATACTGCCAAAGAATGAATGCCTTTATAAGTGGTGGAGTGCATACCGTTACACTTCCTCTGATAAAGATACTTACAAGTTGAATTTGTCAAAGTTTTCAAAGAAAGTTTTGTGCACGCCTCCTTCATCTGTAAAAAGTGAACGCTTATTTAGCACATCTGGAAACATATTTGAAGCAAAAAGAAACAGACTATTACCCGAACATGGAGAACAGATTGCAATTTTAAATTATAATATGCCTGCTTTCATTGAATAAATTATTATTAACTAAATAATAGACTGTAGCTTCTTAGTTCAACTGATTCAACTTTTTAACAAAATTTAAAACAAATACCAAATTTTATGTTCAAATTAAAATAATGACTACTTTTATATTTTTACATTTTACGTGTTTACATTTTTATGAATTCTTTCAAAGAATAGACCATAAATTACCTTAAGTATCAGTAAATGTCTAAGAATTAGTGATGTAATCTTTCCTATACCTGCTAGATATATAGAGTTGAGACTCTAAATTTCACTCTCTAAATTTTTGTACAAAATTTGTTTAAATTTTTTATAATATTGGTTTTGTTTTATAATTTTCCTAAAATGGGCATGTAGGCCAAAACATTCAAACCTAAAACATTGATATATAATTTTAAAAGCAACTTGATTATTCAAATCACCGTGGTGAAGAAAATTGAGCTTTAAATTACGTATAACTTAAGCCAAAGCTTCGGCTTCAGCAAAGTGGCTTCGGCCGAAGCTTTGGCTTCGGCAAAATTGCAGCTTTGGTATATCCCTAATAAATATCACTAAATATATTTGAGCATCAAAATGTAAGAGCATAAAATGTTTTTTTAACAAAGTTGTTTCTTTAAACTTAATAATGCCATTTTTTTTAAACCTGCTTAACTTACCCTAACTAGAGAAGAGAACAGTAAGACTTAAAAATGCTAACTATAATCAAAAGTATGATTAAATGTAAAAATATAAATACTTTTATTTAGAAAAAATCATTTCTTTGCCATCTGAATAGATGGTAAATGACTTCATGATGGTTATCATTTATAAAAGTTACTGATAACTATTTTCACCAAATTTAGAACCTGTCAGACAGAATTTGATTCATTTCTAGTAACCATGATGAAAAGATTTAAATGCGGAAATTCAAATTTTGAAAATTCAATTATATTCCAAAAAAAAGATGACACGTTCAAATTCTACACTTAAATGCTTAAAAGTCATTAAAAAATGTTCCATTTTCAAAAAAACGTTTCTATTTGAATTTTTATCTGTAGCGTTTATTTCATTTGTATATAATTTTTTAATACAGCAATGAACATTGACAAAACTATTCAAGTTTTACATTCAATCATCAATTTTTGCAACTCAAGTCTGTTCTGTTCTGCAAGCTTTTATTTTAATATTTCAATAACTGCAGACTTTGATCCTATTGTACTATTTATACCCAAGATTCTGTACCATGTGCGATTGAAATATTCAAGTACATTAAGTAAAAATGTCTATTCGTTAAAAGATGAAGAAATTTTTTTCTTACATTGAATTCAGGGAGGGTGTTTAGCTGGTTATTTCAGTTATTGTGAAGATCCTTATTTTGTTACTCTAATCTGTAACCATTTTTTGCACAGTATTGACTATAGGTAAACTTTTCAATTTTGTAGCTATAGAAGGTAGAAAGTAATTAGTTAATTTTTATTTTTTATCTGTTAATGTTAGCTGGCATGGGGTTAATTTTGTGGACAGAAAGCATTTGAAAACCTTTTGAGCGATTTCCGATTAAAATTTTATTGCTTACAAATCACAGGTATCTTTTTCTTGTCATAAAAAATGTTTTTAAACAGCAGAATTTTTTTAACTTCAATGCAAGAAAAATTTTAAAAAACATACTGTTTAAATAACCACTTATTTTACTGCTAATTATTGAGTAAAAAATTAAATTTAATTAAAACTATATAACAGTACAGTACAAACATGTCTAACAATTAACTCACGAAAATGTAAAAATTAAAAAAAATCACGACTTTACACTGAATTATAAATAATCAATATAAATTAACTAAAAATTTCCATTCATTATATTAAACATGAAATTTAAAATTTGAAAAACTAAACTACAATAGTAGTTTGAGCTATAATTGGTCAAATTGGTTTGAGCTATAATTGGTTAGGACCAAACATGAAAAAAGTTACAGAAATAAAATTTATGGTTTCAGGCAAAACTTTTCCAAAAAATTAAAACTTTGCTGCACCTTATAAACACGCCTAAAATTATGCTTATTTGCTTGGGCACATCATCATCAATATCAGGCACATTTGCTTGAATACTAGATAAATGAGAGTCCCAAATATGATATTTAGTCAGAAAACTATTCACTACATAGTTTTTAGAAATAAAAAATTGCACTTATATAATTATATACCTGGCTTAACAACGAACTAATGAACAACATACTTTAATGAATACATGACATTTATTAGGTAGTATTATATTAGCAAGTTAATATTATCTAAAACAGATAATATTAACTTCTATAAAAACATTTTGTTTCAGATAATATTAACTATAATACTTAAAGTTAATATAACCTGAAACAAAATGTTTAGTTATTTATTTTTTAACATTTTACATAAAAAAGTGAACATAC